ATTTTATAATAAATAATAAATAATAAAATTTCATACTTATACATATAGCTGATGATGGTGGATTTGAAATGCGATCCTATTTGAATAAAATTTGCCAAACACCTAATTTAGATAATTTGGCAAAAGAAAGTTTATTATTTAATAATGCATATTCTTCAGTTAGCAGTTGTTCTCCTAGGTATCATTGTTATTTATTAGTATTGTTTCAAGTATTCTTTAACATTTTATATTATTATTATCATATTATCATTTTAATATTATATTTTTATAATTTTTATACATTTTAGTCGTTCCTCTTTACTTACTGGTTTACCAAGTCATCAAAATGGAATGTATGGTCTTCATCATGGAATTCATCATTTTAATTCATTTGAAACAGTTCAAAGTTTACCAAAAATATTAAAGAAAAATAATATAAGAACAGGTAAAATTTTCAAAATTTAATAAGTGTAAAATTCAAGAATCATCTATGAATATTTTACAGGTATTATTGGTAAAAAGCATGTAGGTCCAAGCAATGTTTATCCATTTGATTTTTCACAAACAGAAGAAAATAATTCTATACTTCAAGTTGGTCGAAATATTACTAAAATTAAACTTTTAGTTAGAGAATTTTTCTCTCAGAATAAAACAAAGTATGAATTTTTTTTTGCTTTCAAATTAATTTTTCTCTATTAATGTAAAATTTCTATCAAACTATAACTTTATAATAGTAATTTTAAATTATAATATTAAAAGACAAAGATAAATATAATATAAATTGTAATATTTCATTTTTAGCCCTTTTTTTTTATATATTGGATTTCATGATCCTCATCGATGTGGTTATACACATCCAGAATATGGAAATTTTTGTGAAAAATTTGGTAATGGAGATATTGGTATGGGTACTATTTCTGATTGGAATCCAATATATTATCAATGGGAACAAGTAAAAGTTCCATATTTTGTACAAAATACAGAAGCAGCTAGAAGAGATATTGCTGCTCAATATACAACCATTTCTCGTTTAGATCAAGGTATATTTATTAAATAAAATTAAATTAGATATTTAAATTATTAGAAATTAATATGTTAACAAAAATATAAATATTATATAAATATAATATAATATAATAAAATATAATATAAAAAATATAAATATAAATATAAATATATAAACAAAAATATTAATAATATTAAAAAATTATTAAATAATTATTCAAATATGTTATTTATAATAGA